TAAAATGGTTTTATTTTAATAAATTTTTGTATAAGTACTTAATGAAGCATAACAAGTAAATGATAAAAATTTCAAAATGATTGCACTGCTTTAAAGCCCTTTGACCTTTAATAATGTGTGGATGCGCCCTGATGTGCTACGCATTCGCCAACGCGCCTAGGCATGCTTCTGATCAGGTGGTCAATGTCCTCCTGTGGTATCTCATTCCAGCAACCACCTCCTCTCGAAGTGCTTCTAGAGTCTGAGGAGGACGTTGCAAATTGAGCAATCTCCTACCCATCATATCCCACACGTGCTCAATTGGGGATAAGTCGGGAGATCTTGGTGGCCATGGTAACAATGTGACATCACTATGTTGAAAGAAGCCTATTGTGATTCTTCCAACATGTGGTCGGGCATTATCTTGCTGGAAAGTTGGATCTGCCAGGGTGTCAAGATAGGGTAAAAGATGGGGTTCTAGAACTTCGTGGATATAACGCTGCGCGTTCATGTTACCTCTGATGAAGATTAAAGGTGACCTGGAACCATAAGCTATAGCACCCCAAACCATAACTCCAACAGTGTGATGAACATGTCTTTCAACAAAAAACTGTGGATTCCTCCTTTCACCACGTCGCCTTCTAACCCTGGCACGACCATCGTGCATGCCTAAACAAAATCGAGACTCGTCACTAAAGACAATACTGTTCCATTCCTGATCCCAGAGTGACCGTTGTCTGCACCACTCAAGGCGATTACGTCGGTGTTCTCGAGTTAAAGGGAGGACCCAGTGTGGCCGGTATGAAAACAAGCCAAAACTTTTCATTCGTCGGTGAACACTTCGCATGCCAATAGGTCTTCCGTGTTCTGCAAACCATTCATTTGCAATGGACCTGGTAGTGGAGAAACGGTCCCTTAAGGCCAATAATCTTAGGCGGCGATCTTCAAGGTCTGTTGTTCTACGGCGGCGTCCAGTGCCCCTTGCTCTTTGCGTACGGCCTTCTCGAAGCCATGCCTGACAACACCTAACCACAGTGTTTACACTTCTTTGCACTCTAACTGCAATTGCCCGAAAAGAAAGTCCAGCTTCCCGAAGTCCCACTATACGGCCCCTATCAAACTCACTAAGTTGACGAAATCGTACAGGTCTCCGTACTCTAGGCATCGTAACCGATCGTAAAGGATGTCAAGAACCAAAATCCGCCAACGTTGATTCTGTACTGCGGCTGAAATATTCATTTTTAGATCATTAGTGAATTAAAAAAAAGCAGTACAAAAACCGGAATGTCCAACAGATAAGGCTGAAAATTTTTTCACTTGTTATTTACAGTAAGATAAATACATTCATCAACATTTATTAAAATAAAACCATTTAAACTGGGTGTTTTGATTTATATGTCACTTAGTATAGATGCAGCTTGTGATAGAATAAAAAACACTCCAGAGATATTGGCCTACCATTTTTTTCTTAAAAAATATCAAAGTCAATACCCGTACGCACGTCACTGTTAAAGTAAAAAATTATTTTTGCATTGAAAAATATGCGACTTTCTTACCTTTCACAACGTACTAAATGTCAGTGAAATATCTGAAGCGGTTCTGAAAATATTAATTCATTTCCAATTTTTTCCTAATCCTATAATTCGTCTTCCTAACCTTTTAAGTGTGAAAATGTCTTTCAAGGTTCGTATAGTAGCTTGAGAGCATGACCTAAAAGAGGGCAAAGTGTGTTTCAAGATTCCGACTCTAATCCGTGCTGACACTATTTATAAGACTTCAAACGACGAAAATAATGGTAGACTAGGTATAAAGAAATATTAATCGCGTTAGTCGCAAAGTATTTTATATTATGCCTGACCCATTATATCCTGAAACATTCGTGTTGTCTAGAAATTAACATTTTGCGTGACAAACAACTTTAACAATTAGTGGTAACTGAAGCATACGTCTAGTTTTTCTTATACATATTAAAATGGCGTGCATACACTAAAACAACTAAGCTTAAAGCTTATTTGGTCCATTCACGCCTATCTTCTCCTTCAATGACTGATTCGGGCAGTTGCTGCAGAAGCATACTACGGAATCTCTAGAATATATCACAAAGATTATCGACAAAAAGAATTTATCTTGTAGTAGCTCTATTACTGTAGTGTAGGGTGTTTCTTTGATTAATACACTGAAACCTGATTAAGAGTGCCATGGATGTTATAATGAGCTCTGGGTACTTCACATTTTAAACATCTGTTATTGGGAACCTGAAACCTTTCTAACTGAGATTTGGTATCTTAGATTTTTTCAATTTTTATTCCTATAAATGGGACTTTTTAGATCAATCGCGTAGTGAGACAGTCTATTAGGTTTAGACACACTGACCTACAAACATTCGAAATTCATCTATAGTTGCCTTACTTATCAAGGTAGCAGGACCCTCTATAAATAATGCAACTGTCATTTAAGGCCTGCCCATTTGAGAGGTTGCGTAAATGAATAGCCGCTATAGCTGATAAAAACCCCATGTCTTTTCAATTCGGGGTTCCCTGTAAAATATTAACAGTATTTTTCGTACTATCGCACTTGACAAGATGCATCTGCTCAAAAGGATATGTTTGCTTTCCGTGTCCTGTAACCATGACCATCCGCAGATAGCGATGTTTCGTGCCCGTTACCAGTTCATCAGTGCGATATAGGTCTTAGGTACAGTTATGGAGACAGGTGAGATGGCAAATAAACAAATGGATGTAGTCATTTGAAAAACTCGAAAGCAGATGGAAAGAAGAATTCCATCTGCTTGCATACAAGATGAGGAGTCAGACTCATAGACCTTCATTGTGCTTGAGGCTTCCTTGAAAACAATTGATCTCTTCTTGGAAACAATGGAACAATGACTCTTCCTTGAGGAGTTAAATTTGCATTAGGCTGCAATAGATGTTATCATAAGCTGTCATCGAAGTCAGAAAGATTTTTCATTGCTGGTAGTATCTATTTAGCATTTTCATGATAAAATTTGGATGATTTTCTTTTTTCATAGTCGCACATTATAATTCATAATGATATAGAACTTGGATATAAACTGTGTTTTTTTTTCTGTGAAATACAGTAGAAATTGAATCTGACAGAAGTAATATACAACATGCAACTAGCACAGCAGTTTGGTGCAACTGGTTGCCTATATTCTGTTTTTACTTATCTGTGATTGTGTTGTAGTTCGAGCAAGCAATTACATTATTATTATTAGTACAGGGTGGGGCAAAAGTCGCGAAGGGATTTGAAAAATTAATAACTTTTTTAAATTTTAATTTTAATTTTTTTCCCTAACACAAAACTAAAATGCAATGTTTGGAGTTTGTTTACAATTTAAGTGTGAAAGATTACATCACGCAAATGACCGCCATTTTCAGCCTCGCAAAGTGCAGCTCTTGCAAGAGCATTTTCCATTACCCGAGTCAGAATATCTGGCCCCAAAGCACTTACTTCTGCTCGAATATTATCTTTTAGTTGCTGCAGGGTTGTGGGTTTATTAATATACACTTTTCCTTTCAGATATCCCCAAAGGAAATAATCAGGGGCTGTTAAGTCCGGCGAGCGGGCGGGCCAATTGAATCCTGAATTTCTCGAAATTAAACGTTCGCCAAAAATCTGCCTTAGAAGGTGCATAGTGGCTCGAGCAGTATGCGCAGTGGCTCCATCTTGTTGGAAAGTCATCGTTTGATTGTCAGCAAGAGCTGGTCTTAAGAAATTTTGAATCATATCACGATATCGGTCGCCATCTACAGATACAGCATTCCCATCGTGGTCTTCGAAGAAGAATGGTCCAATAATTCGTTGAGACGTAACTGCGCACCATACTGTACATTTAAGCGGATGTAATTGCCTTTGATGAACCACCCTTGGGTTCTCGGTACCCCATATTCTGCAGTTCTGCTTATTTACGAAGCCATTCAAATGAAAATGGGCTTCATCGCTCATGATCAGAGAATGAATAAATTCATTATCTTCTCGAGCCATTCTTTGCAAGCGAACTGCATAAGTTAGTCGTTCTTGAAAATCTGCTGGTTTTAGTTCTTGCACTAGCTGCACTTTATATGGAAACAGATGTAAATTTCCTCTTAATATTCTGCGTAAAGACCTTTGAGACATCTGCAGCTCAGCAGAACGTCTTCGGGTTGAGGTTTCCGGATTCTCCTGAACACTCTCCTGAACGCGTTGAATGTTCCCTTCATTTCTTGCGGAACGTGGCCTTCCGCTTCGTGGGAGATCCATAACTGTGCCTTGTTGCTGAAATCGTGCAACTAAGCGTCGAATCATTGATTCAGAGGGCGAATTCCGCAAATTGAAATGACGACGATATGCTCGTTGAGTTTGAATTATTGAATGGTGATATTCAAAATAAAATTCTATAAGTTTGGTTCGTTGATTGAGGTTGTAACGCTCCATAATTAATCTCCAGGATTTATTTTACACGGTCCTGAAAAAAAAAATGAAAACAAAATAAATTTAAAAAAGTTATTAATTTTTCAAATCCCTTCGTAACTTTTGCCCCACCCTGTATTATTATTATTATTATTATTATGCTTTGTTTCTTGACATTCAGCACAAATAAACCAAATACATATTTCTCATATTAGTATTAGGCATGCATAATATAACAGTATAAAAAATTATAAATTCAGTGATGATTGGTTGATCAATTTATTATTGTGATACACAGAATGTATAGTTTTTCCATTAACTCTAGCATGTTGAATATTTTATAAAATGAAGATGTATAGTGTATCTATACTCTAATTCGCATTAGTAATCGTACAGTGAAAATATATTAAGTTCCAAGAGTATGGGCCTAAAGGAAAGTATGTCTCACGATTGAAACCCATTTTGAAGCAGTTAATATATCCAAGACACTAAGCAAAGTAAAAGAAAAGCACTCCACACTGAAAATAGAGAAAAGTTACTCAACTTGATTGCAAAGTATTTCATATTTTTATTATAGACCAACCACAGTTATATCTTGAAACATTTGTGTTGTCTAAAATTAACATTTTGCGCTACAAACAACTGTAACAATTAGTGGTAACTACATGCATCTACTTCTAGTTATTCATATTAAAATTGCGTGAAAATACTAAAAAAACTAATGGTGATACGAGTCGAAGCTTAAAGCCCGTTTGGTCCATCTATGGCTATCTTCTCCTTCAATGATTGATTTGGACAGTTGCTGCAGAAGCATATTATGCTGTACCATACCCGGAAGCTCTGGAATATATCAAAAGATTATCAGCAAAAAGACTTTATCTACTGGCGGCTTTATTACTTTAATCCAGGGTTGTTCCTTTGACTGACACAGTGAAACCTGGTCAAGTGGGCCGTGAGTACTAGAGTTTCGGGCACATTTAAATTTTTAAATACCTCTGCTACTGGGAATATTAAAACTTACAAATTGAGATTTGTTTTCTTTACTACTTTACATTTTTCTCTGTAAAGCGGATCCTGACCCAAGTATTGGAAAAACTAGTAGAAAAAAGTTTCAAATAAAACTTTTAAGGTTTCGAGGAGGCAAAATAATGGTGACCATGACAATGACCTTGACCACGACCTGAAAGGTCATTATAATGTTACACTTGAATATAAGAATCACCATGATGTTAACAATCGCAAGGTCGAAATGTCTTGCAACACAGATGTGCTGATTGTGGAGATCCCCAAATCTGACCTTGACCAAGATCCTAACCATGACCTTGAACAAGGTCAAGACCAAATTTCCAAAGGAAACCTCTCACTTCAACCCTGGAAATGGAAAAAGCGGAGTTCCGTTTGAGAATATCCGATCCATCTTGAAAAATCCTTGAAGACTGTGGTCAAGGTCATTTTCAAGGCCACAATCATTTTGCATTGTTGAAATTTATTTTCTATAATGCAGTCTTCAAATATTTGGGTAGGAGGATAAAAATGGGACACCCTGTATAATTATATAATCAGACGAGCTTGCTTGTGAGTGATATGCGATCTTAGCTATATGAAGGCCTCGTCAAAGTGAATAGAACAGATGTAGTCCCCGGTTTCCCTACCAACCGTACCCTCCCACCTTGACCTTCCCCGCCCCTTGCCTACGAAGTCTCGTTTTCTCCAAAGCCAAAGTTGTTACAAAATTTGGGTGATATGTAGGGAGCAAGTCTTCGCGGCCTTCACATAATTAAGGTCGAATATCACTTACTGATGAATTCGTTTGATCATACAATTATGTTCCGGCCTGGTCTTCGTAAATAGAACAGCACTTCGTATCCTATCGTATTCTACATGTCGACATGATTCAATTCAATCAGTGCTTTATCCGCCCACACCGATTTCAAATTCTGTCCACAATGTCATCGCTGACACTTTTGAGCTGTCGCGTTCTTTGATTCGGAGTTAAGCGGAAAGAAGATCGACATTTGCTAATGATTTGAATATGAAAGTACGGTTGTTGGTATTCTCCATTTGATATATCATGCCTCCTCAAAACGCGAATCTTCAAAGGAAAATGATCACTCTCTTCTCGTATCAGCCTTCTTTCTAGATTTTCCGCTCTGGTTGCCTTCAATCTTTTTACCTCTTTCGATTTCAGAGTTTGAATTATATTATATTTGGCGTAAACATTATTAGGAAGCTTTAGGTTTTTCGGATATAAATCGAAATTACTTTGAACCCAAACATCAAACGATCCCGAAACGTAACCACACGAAATTATTTGGTACATCATCGAACACTAACTTATGGTAACTCTAGATTCAGTTCATTTACACTTAAATTATGAATTTTCCTTCCGGTCTTTTTAGTCCAGTAAAATTCCATTCAGTGGCCTTGTAGATTTTGGTACATAGATCGATAGTTTATTGTCCTATTAGAGAATGTTACATGATATAAAACTTGTCAATATAGTATGAATTTGAGGGTCATATATGCGGTTGAGCAGACATGCCGGAAAAACACTTATAAGTATAAAATAAATAAGAACATTACAATTACAAAGCATCTTAACAGGTTAAATCACAATATATGTAGGAACAGCGCAAGAGTCGGAATGTGTTCAATCTGTAACGGTAAAAATATATACATACATATACAGCGACTTTTTTTTAAAACATAAAATGTTCCTCTAGCCGTCTTGCGACTTAATCTAATGATCAAGTTAGTGCATTTTTATCTAAAATGTACACCTATACCTTTCATACTCAATGCATGTTCATTACTCATGTAAATATATCCTTTCATTAATTTATCTCATCAAATAATATCGAGATGTTTCCAAAATCTATTTACGCGCCAACAGCAATATACGCACAGGATATCTATTAAATCTCTTTTAGGGAAAAGGTTAGAGAAAAATATCCGGGTAGCAAAAAAGCAATTTATCGATGGCTTCAGATATGACCTAGTCACTGACCTTAGAGGTCATTTGAAGGTCGACTTTGTAAATCCAAATAGCAACTACTATTTTTTACAACAAATTTATGCTGGGTTCGAAATCGTACATCATAATCCATTTCCTCCTTGAGGTACAGTTCAATCAGCATGACCTACTGTAACGTCTGGAAAGTACAAAATCACCACGAAAACTTAGTAATCACGCATTTTTTTTAAAAAAAAAGGTTCAGATAAAAGTTTCAGGGTATCAAATAATAAGCAATTTGACGATGACCTCAGTTATGACCTAGACCAGGCTTCTCCAACTAAGGTGCTACCAGCGCAGCGCCGAGCACCGCTCGCAGCACAGTGCTGCGAGTTGACTCCGTGAAGGTGGGGGAGGGATTAGGCAGCGGCATACGCATCGCCAGGAAGGAAGGTCTTGTGCTAACCGTAGCACCCTGCGAAAAGAAATGACCCGGGAGCTGGTGGCATTGAGTATACCTTCATCGCGGATTCGACTAAATTTAGTAATAACATGTAGTTTTTAAGTAAATGAACAAGAAGAGCTAAGTAAGAATTTTGGGAAAATCTTGCTGCTTAACACCTTGATAAAACGAAATTAAATTACTATTGTAGTGGTAGTATCTATCCTTAAAGATCCTATCGCATTGAAGCTTAATCAGCTCCATTTGGAACTGCGGCGGTTCTGTTTCGAAAAGCACTGAAGATGGCGTCGTAAAAATCTCATTTGCATAAATATCTCAACGTCGTCAAGGATTTCAATAAACAATCTTTAGCACTTTTGCGCAGCTTAACCCGCGCATACCACAATAAAAGGGTATCTCACCGTAACTTGCTTCCAGGTCTTTGAAAAATACTTCAAACTGTCGTGGTTGAGACCTTGCTTTCTGCAAGAATTGACACATGTTATTACTACATCCATAATAGATTTGAAATTACGGAAGGTTTTTGCACGTAGTTGTTCCTGATGTAATATGCAGTGTACCGATGATATCAGAGGTAGCCCGGCGTCGCGTACTTTTATTTTTATTCGCCCAGTAAAACCTTGTGCTTCCGATAACACTGCTGGCGCTCCATCAGTAACAACACTACGCAAACTTTTGAGTAGTATACCTATGTCGTTCATTGTCAATTCTACAGCATCAAAGATATCTCCTCCTGCTATTGTATCTTTGAGCGGGATAACGTCTAGTAGTTCGTCGGTAATAGTAAAGACTATTTCGACACCTCTAACGAAAACAGCTAATTATGGTGTGTCAGAAATGTCTTTACTTTCATCGAGAACTATAGAATACTGCACAAAATGGGTACATTTTCCCGCAGTTGTTCTTTTAAATCTGCACCAAGTTCAAGTATCCGACGAGAAATTGTTTACTCGGACATATTAATTGTCTCAAAGTTGCTTACAGGAGATGGGCACAATATTTCTGCACACTCCACTAAGCATTCTTTGACAAGTGCATCGTCAGTAAACGCTCTCCTACTGTTTGTGATTTTCAAAGCAACAGTATAACTTGCATTACGACACCATTAATAATAATCAACTAGGACCAAATTAATAATTACTTCTTCAGAACTTTGAAGGGCTTGCCTCAATACCGTGTGACAAATTAAACATTTTGATTTTTCATCAGTATTTACAAAAAATAGGCTTCTTCCATGCAGGATTGAATGACATCGTTTAAAAAGTGATGCACTTTAAGACGCTAAAAACCTTGTCTTGTCCTATTAAGAAATGGCCCGCGCCCGAGAGACAGTCGGCTAATATGTTTCACTGTGCCGCGACGGCTGCGCGGTCGAGGTGGAAGGGGAACGGCACCGGTGCCGCTGGGTTCAGCACCGGAGCCCACCAGCACCAAGTGCTCGAGTTGGAGAGGCCTGGCCTAGATCTTAAAGGTCATTTAGAGGTCAACCTTGTGAACTAAATTTTGATCACAATTTTTGGAAGACAGATTCGTGTCAGGCTCGAGATTCGGTATCAGATTTCATACAACAGGTCACGCGGTCATGAGTAACTGAATCAGTATGACCTACTGTAATGTCAAACACTCAGAAACTTGGTGATGCCGCATTTTTCGGAAAGATGGCTTAAGAATCAAATCCAGTGTATCAAATAAGTAATTTATCAATAGCCTCAAATTTGACATAGACAATGACCTCGACTTTGTAAATTTAAATAGCTACGGGCATTTTTGACGACAGATTCGTGTTGAGCTAGAGGTCTTACATCAGTATGACGTTTTTTTCGATATGTTCCCTTGAAAATCATTGGTTATATCTTTTGCGTATTTTGAATAAAGGTAAACTTTTTGAGTGTATAAGAATTGTTTGAAAATTTTTATAATTTTCATTTCCCGGCTGTTATAAGACTGTGTATTGTTGCAAAGTTGTACGTTTTGTTGGTGAAAATATGCAACTCAAAAGATGAGGCTATTCACAAAATGAAAATCTCCGACGTAAATAAGTACTGAAAATTAGATAAAATACCAAACAATGGAACATGCACTACATGAATGAAGGAAAAATCTCTGAACATTTTTATAAATAGTTTTCCTAATATTCACTTAAAATGAAATCATCCGGAACAGTAAAGGCCTAAGCAATGGAAATTGTATTAACGCGACTTGAGTGGATTAGAATTCATATCAAATTGACAATAATAATAATAAATGGCCTTTATTCCTCACATGATTACAAAATAATTGGCTTAAAAGGAATAGAGACGAAAAGGTGGAGTATCAGCTTATGCTGTTTTTCAACCCGACCTAAAACCATTGACACAAACTATAAAGAAAAAAAAAGTACCTACATTTAAATGGCACAGTTTACATCATTGACCACCAAGAAGAGAAAAGCTTAAAATATTACACTTCTCAGAAAAAGGAAACAATCAATTACCTGCCATTTTAAGTGCCGTATCGTCAGTCGTTCCTACAATTCTTCTTTGACTTTCACAGTTTTCTACTCTTCCGTGTCAGCGCTCTATTTTGAGGTTATATTGCAAATCTATTTGCATCAAATTGTTTAGGCTTTTGATTTATATCATCTGTTATATAGCTTGAAATTTCGTATAATTCAGGAAGAAAACATAATGCTGACGCTGACACGGAACGGAAGTCTATAAATATCCCAGCCTTTCTGAAGGAGAGGAAAGACTGAAAATCAACGAGCCCATAAAGGCGTCCTACAATTGTAAGAACAACTGACAATACGGCCCTAAATAACGAGCGTCATCGTGACCGTCATAATTAAGTTGGCTAGTTACTTAATTACGATTGACTAAGTACATCCAACTGTTTACACTATCTTGTTACAGAACTGTAGGTCTTGAGAATTGTAAAAAGTTGAGCGAAAGGTGAAGCTATTTACTATACGAACTTACGGTTAGCAAGTAGCTGTAATTCGATTCTATCAATCCAAAACAACTAATACATTGTTCCTTTGTATTTGTCAACATCAACAGGAGCATCTTTCTGTTAGCGATATTCCAGTAATTCCACGGACACTCGCATAGTTTGTTGTAGTATTCTAGCGACTGAAAACAATTTTGCAAACTGAGATTAGCCAGTCATTAAAATCATCATGAGCATATTCGGAATAAAAAAGTGAACATTTCTAAAAATCTCGGACAACGTTATACACAGCATCCGTATTTTTGATTTTCAATACGACAAAGTTACAAACTTAAGCAATTCCAATATGAAAAAATGAATTTTGGCTTTTCTAAGGACTAAGTTTTACTCTCTTCCTTGAGTGGGCGGTAATTATGCACATTGATAGTAAATCCGGTTTACGAAGGCACAAAAAGCCTTAGAGACTGCTGGGCTATCGGGGACCTTGGTCGGACGGTTCTCGGAAAGGAAAAAAAATCAAATTTACGAAACTGAGTCCTCATTTATAAAGAAATGTCCAGAAATCGTATGGCAAAATTTCATATAATTCGTAAACGTAGGCCTAGGATGTTATAGATGAAGTGTGTTTAGAACCTTGCTTAGAAAGCGGGAATTGAAGGACAACAGAGTGTTCCATCAAAAGTGAGCAGGTTAAGTCGATAAATGGAAGTGCTACCACTGCTCCTATCGGCTTTGCCATAATCCCAAATCATAACTGTTTACTTTCCGAGGAATCAATCAATCGCTCTATGAATATATTGATATTAGAAGAAAAAATAATTTCTTCAACTTAATTTTTTGGCAATGAGGTAGACTTACATCAAGAATCAAACGTTAAAATTTTCACGAACGCAATAAGAAAAAAAATAAGTGTTTGGTGACCCTGCAGCTGAATACACTCCTGTATAGTCAAGGCATCGACAAAATGAGATGATCGATGTCTGGGTATGGCAGCTCATTCCAAGCAACTCGAACTTCGTGGATAAGCTGTGGCAGAATCTGCGGCGGATGGTGTAAAATGGATAGTCTCTTCCCCATCATATCCGACACATGTTCTATGGGATCTAAATCCGGTGATCGAGGTGGCCACGGGAAAACCTTAACCACTGCATTTTGAAGAAAGTCCGTAGTACGAGGAGCAATGTGGAGATGTGCCTTGTCTTGCTGAAAAGGGATGTGTGAACGGCTCTCTAGATACAGTAGTAAATTGATTTGTAGGACATGATCAACACATCTTGATGCTCTGTGGTATGCCTCGATGGACCAGTTGGCCTTCTTCGTGTTCCTCTACCTTCTTCTATCCACACACGACACACACGCATTACCTTCATAACAGTACAATTTTGTAGTATGCTTTAAATGTAGTCATTATGTTGACAAAAACAAGTTGAAGATATTATTTTTTCTGGGTGTAACACTTCTACTGTCACTGAGTATAGTTAATTGTAGCTCTACTCACAGAATTTGTAATTCCTTGTCCAGCGTTTATACATATAACAAATGCATAGCAAATAGCTGTTAGAATGAAGTACAGCTTAATTTCAGACGGCGGATAGAAATGCTGAAAAGTACAGGTTTAGTCTTAGAAAATAAGTTGCTTTTCTAAACTGCTACTACTCCCTATGAATAGTTGTACATAGACGAGTTCAAAAAAGTATCCGTTTTACAGCAATTTGAAGCAGACGTCCTTCATGTTGTTTTAGAAAATGGATAATGTTAAAATGTGTACTTAATAAATATAGTGCATGACATAGAAATTGCAACACTGGCTAGGGGTGCTATACTTTTGAGCATACTTTTACACGTTGTAGGACTATTGATATACAGGGTGACTTTGAAGTTGAGTCATTAATTTTCAGATAATGATTGTAGACGGAAGATAAACCAAAATATGTGTGTAAACATAAAAAAAAAATAAAAAAAATGTCACCTTGTTGTATAAAGTATCCTCCCGACAAGTATTTCAGTGCGGACCTGTATTGATCGTGCGGTCTTGGAGCACCGGCATGCCCTCCCCTGTGAGGTCTTAAGTCACCTGATTCACGAGCCCTTTGTACTACATAACAAAGGCACGAGGGGTTGGTAACACTCGATTGGGAACCGATCCGCATAAATCCGTGTTGCAATCATGTCCACAAGTTCAGCATTTTCGTAAACATGTGTCATTTTTTATTTCGTTGAGCCACGCAACACACAACACTATTCACTCACGCGTTACCGACTGACACATTGACTGAATACAACTGAATAAAATTGTAGTAAAAACATCGTGATGAGCGTTTCAAATTCTTTCGCTTTTTTGTTTCCGATGCGCTGAACCGATAAGGGGGATTATACTCCGTTGTTGCCAAACACGAGCACATATTATTATTGAGACAGGGCGGGTACTCAAACTTCTAAAGGGCTATAACTTTGTTACTTTATTTTACCACAAAAATGTTAAAGAAAAAAAACATTTCTTTTGATCACACCTACTCACTGTTAAAATAAATGACTCAACTTCGAAGTCACCCTGTATAGAAAAGTGATTGAAATTTGAACTCGAAATTTTGCAAATTAGCTGAGAATACACATTCGTTAAGTCGTCGCGGCACTGATTGGATTCGATGATTGATTGTCTTCTTGGTGTATGCATCTCATGCCATCTGAATTCGGTTTCATAGGGGCCTCCAATGTTTGTGGAGGCTGCTGTGATTTTGAAACCTGCTTCCCATAATGTCCTATACACGTTCGATGCGGGAAATAATAATAATAGTAGTAATAATAATAATAAACAATACTGGGTCTTTAGTAAGGGATACATTACATATTTATATAATGCTCCTTAAAAGGCGGAGTCTAGAAAATATCTACTCTTCTCAAACCTCTCGGAAAACGATTGAAATACTAAATTGAATGAAACAAAAAACAGGTTCAGAGAGTATAACAGGGCGATTTTTAGATAACAAAAACTATACATGGCTTTGATTATTGCCTCAAATAACATCCTGTCGCTCTGTAGTCTGTCTTTGAGTCTCGTTATAGGTCAGAACACGATGGCATCAGCAAGACGACACCGCCAGACGCAACGGCACCAGAAACCTTCATAAAACTATTTTTCCTTTTTATATTATATCATTATCATTCAACTTGTAGACGTTCATATCTATCGAATAAATATTTTTTTAAAACTCCTTGTTGTGGTTGAAAAACATAACTGTCTAGTACGTCTAACTCGTCCATTTCGGACTTCTTGGAACCACGCTCGACAACATCCTATTACAGCCCCTTAGTTTCGGTTCATCCGATTAGCGATCTCTCAAAAGAAAATCCGGCTCAACGACCCCCCTTCAAACTCGAAAA